TTGCAAAAATATCCAGAAACTTAAACAACAACAAATCAACAGTGGAATTAACCTATGTCGACTGACCTTCCCATGTGCACTAAGCCTCATCTCTATTACTTTTCAACATTCTCACCTCCAACTCTTAGCCCTGATCCAATAAGGGGGGCCATTAGACCATCCCTGACTCAATTCTGGTCATTACTGCCTTCATTCAGTTCAATTAATTTCATTTCAGCCAATATCCATAAGCAAGAGCTTACTACATGTGTGCAAGCCACATTCATGCCTCTGTCTCATTGTCCTTCCGCTTGGAGTATCTTCCTGACTCCTTTATTGTTAAATCCGTGTCTCTAACCACATGTCCTCCAAGAAACTTTCCCTGATTAGCCCCACTCTCCTCTGTGCTTTTGTTTCACATTTTTCTAGCACTTATGCATATAATTTTTATTCTATTACTGTAATCTACTTATAGTCTCAGCTTTGATACCGCCCACATTTGTGACCTTTGGCAAATCACTTCCCCTTTTTATTTTTCCATTTCCTGGTATGTCTAATGAGGGGATTGTACTTGATGGGATCTAAGGCCCTTTACAGCTGTCATTCTATGATTTGACAATTTATTAGTTTGTAATTATGGTAAAATACGCTTTGGAACATAGATTTATACCTAGAAGGGACCTTAAAAGTCCAACTAATTGGTGAACTTGAGAGCAAAGACAAAATTTAAAAAGTTGTATCTATGATGTTGCCTGGCAATAAAGAAATCTTTATTAATTTTTATTGATAAGAGTATATGAAGATGATGCTATTGACCTATTCCTGGTATGGCATAATATTTTAAAACATTTTAAAAAATTTATTTGGTATTTTATTTTTCCACAGTCACATATAAAAACAATTTTTAACATTTGTTTTTAAAACTTTGAGTTCCCACTTCTCTCCCTTCCTTCCTGTTCCCCTCTCCCCCACTGAGAAGACAAGTAATTCAGTATAGGTTATACATGTGTAGTCAGGGTATAAGATTTTTAAAAACTCTAGTTTCAACTCCAGAGCCAGTGTTCTTTCTTAAAAAAAAAAAAAAAGATTTTGATGCTTTCTTTTTTTTTCTTCTTATATTACTGTCACTTCTAACTCTCTTTCCTCCAATAGGAGTCTCCCTTGTAGCAAATAAATATTGTCAAATAAAACAAATGAACACATTGGCTACATCCGAAAATAGATGCTTCGTTCCATATGTCTGGACCACCACCTCTCTGCAGAAAGGTGAGACGGTTGACTTCTGTCTTCTGAAGATGTGACTGGTTAGTGTGTGGATCAGAGTTCTGAAAGCTTTCATCATTGTTTTCCTTTGTGGAACTGTGGCCAGTGTGCGAATTGCTCCCCTGGTTCTTCTTACTCTGCTCCCCATTAGTTTCTAAAAGTCTTCCCAAGTTCCTCTGAGTTCTTCATTGTAGTCATATGACATGATGATATTTTACTTAATTCATATGCCATAATTTGTTCTACCATTTCCCAAATCGTGGGCCCCCGGTTAGTTCCCCATTCTTCAGAGCATATACTTTGCTGCCATGCATCATTGTGTGGTGATGGGTAGCATCAAGCCCTCATGATAAGAGTTGACACTTTTATAACAATTTTCAGTTAAAAGAGCTTTTCCATACATTGGCACATTTCATACTTAGAATAGCCATGTGGGTAGTTAGGGTAATGCCTCTCCCATCCATTACCCTAGGCCCTTATCCTTTCTTACCTGGACTATTGCTTCCTAATTGGTTTCACTGTTTCTAGTCTCTCCCCTCTCCAATCCACTCCCACTCTGCTGCCTAAACTAGTTTCCTAAAGCCCAGGCTTGACTCTGTTAATCCCCTGCTCCAGAAACCTCCATGGCTCCTTATTAAGTCTAGGGTAAAGTACAGGTTTTTGTGTTTTGACATTTAAAGCCTTTTTACAGTCTGGCACCAAGACTGATTTCATATTACTTCCCAATGTGCATTTGAGATTCCTTTGCACAGGCCATCACCCATATACCTGGAATGCTTTCCCTTATCATCTTTTCTTGAAAACTTTAGTCCGTTTCAATGTTCAAGTATGACCTTCCATAAGACATCTTTTCTGATTCACCCCAGTTGTTAATGCTCCACTTCTCACAAAGTACTTTGTTTTTCATTTGTTTATATTTTATATAAATGACTTATCTGTGTAGAAGTTGTTTCCCCTCAGTGGAATGTAAGCTCCTATGTTTTACTTTTGTATACTAATGCAGGGGTAGGACATTGACAAATGCTTGTTGCATTGAATTCAAGCACTCCCATTTTGGAAATGGGGACACTCAACCTCAATGAGGTGAAGTGACTTGCTCCAAATTACAAGGTGTTTAGTGGAGGATGCGAGACTTTCAGATTCTAAGTCAATGTACTGCCTGTTAGACCCTGCTGCCTCTCATCTGGTTATTCTTTTGTCTTGTTCGTGGCCAAAGGTACAAATATATATGTAGTAGGAGAGGGGAGAGTTGATTATGGTTCTCTTGGTCAATTGATTTCCACCACCTTCCTCCATCCTGGCCTAGATGTTCTAAGACAATGGGGCTTTAAGATTTTAAACAAAATGTAAAAAAAGGAAGGTTTACATTTTCTTTTTTTTGCCCCTTTATAAGGACAGAAACAGTTCTTTGGATAAAACTCAATAGACTTAGCCATTGATTGGCTAGAGATCAGTCATGACCTTGGTTGCCTTTAAGAAGTAGGCTTAATAGCTCTGGAGTAAGTTGAATCTGGAGAGCTTCCAGGAGAGTGATCACCTGGCAGCAGAAAAGAGAGTCCACTTATGGAAAAAGAACCAGACTCTTGAGATAAGATTTCTCTTTGTTTTTCCTCTTACATATCCATCAGAGGGAAGCAAGGGGGGAAGAAGATTCCTCTCCTCTCTGTCTCCCTCTCCTCTACCCTAGAGGCAACTTGAAGGTACAACGGACAGAACTGAGAATCAGCAAGACATGAGTTCAAATCTAGCCTTAGGCGTTTACTAGATGTATGACTTTGGGCAAATCACCTCATCTTTGTTTGCTTTAGTTTCCTCAACTGTAAAATGGGGATAATAACAGTAACTACATCTCAGGGTAATTAGGAGGATCAAATGAAATAATATTTGTAGAGCATTTAGCACAGGGCCTGGTCCACAGTAGATGCTATGTAAATCAATGCTTATTCCCTTCCTCCACTATCCAAGCATTGGGAGCCACTAGCTCAATAGGAGATCCTGCACCCAGCCAAGAGCAGGCACGAGACAGCTTTGAGGAGTGTAACACCTGGTAGCACACAAGATAGCTAACTGTGATTTCTAGAGAGAATGAGCCCTGATTGTCTGGAATCAAGCTATGAAGAGGAGCAGACCTCGCTGAGGGGAGACCTGCCTTGCAGAGATATGAGACTCAGGGAGAAGAAAGAGGACATTGGGTCTCTGGAGTGTCCCCAGAGTGTGTTGCCTCGACCACATATACTTCCTAGCTATGTGCGTCTCTGCCAGTGTATTGTGTGTTTGTGCCCGCTCTTTCCACAGATGCCATGCCTGTCGTAGGAGAGTACATCCCAGACTTATGTTTTGTAGCTACTATTCTTACTATATCACCTCAACAAATGATTTTGCTTTGGGTTAATTATATCAACTGGCTAGTTGTTACCAGAAAGCACACTGGATAAGGGGAGGACGTGATAGCTAATGATTTTAGGAGTGTAAACTCAAAGTCTGCCTTGAGCCTCAAAGTATCCACTTCCCTAGGGCACCCAACTTGGGAGTTTGAGTAGGGGGAAGCTCCTTGAGGAGGCCACCATAGGCATGGTTAGTTTGATCCATCATAGGTTATGGAGAAATCTCAGAAGTCATAGGGCCAGATTTCCTGGCTTTCCATCACAGAGTTTTGCAAAATGGCAATGAAGAATTTGCCAAAGGAGCCTTTTTCCTGTCTAATTTTATGGCATGAATAGCTCCAGACTTGGATGAGCAGAAAAGAGATGGTGTCTACTTTCACTCACTTAAATGGTACCAAGTATAGCTCACAAAGTTGCTTAATGAATTCTATTTGATTGATTGATTGATTATGAAAACATTAGGTGCTCTTGGAAAAGCAGCACTCAATCTGTTGAGAAATCATCTCTTCACATTGCAATCTCCAGAGTTTAAATGAAGCAGAGCTTAGTACAATCTCCAGGCCATTAGGCATGAGCTCCCAGACATCAGATGTGGGAGAAGTATCTGAGAATGGAACCTGTGCTACTATGGGTCATAGAAGATCCAGCCCCTTTGGCTTGACTAGGAAAACTCTCAGAATCCTACCCTTTGCTCTAGTCATTATGTTTCAATGCCTTTCTGTCTTCTCTGGCTCCAATTCCTTAGTGTTGCTTTTGGCACCCGTGGCCTAGCACCAACCACCTTGACTTCTAAAGACTCTAAACTCAAACTTGGATTTCATCCTAGAGGATGACCCATAGTATATCTATAGCTATTTGTCCTTGCCTAGGGTTAATCCAGGAAAACTTCTACTTTTAAAGTTTATTTCTCGGTTTCTCCAAATATAGGTTTGTACAGGCACTCAATGTAAAATATGGGTCTGGCCAAAATGCTTGTTCTTGATTCACTGCTCTGAGCATTGCCTTTCTCCTTAAGAGGGGAACTGGGATTCTCAGTGTTTCTGCCTCAGATTCCTGAGGAACTATTCTATTTTTATCTCTAGTCTAAAGGGTCCTCCTTAACAAAAGGAGAGAGGACATAAAAAGGTACCCTGGGTACAAACATGAATCAGATATAAAACACATAGTCTTATTCCCATTCAGCAAAGGAGATGCTAAACAATAAGGAATGATAGAGCAATTACAAAGAGTTGAGAAGCTCATTCCAGCCTCACTGAGACCTTCACAAATAGGGTCTTATTTGACATTTAACCTCTATTGAGTACAGTTATCCCTTCTACATTTCAACTTTCCCCATCGTGGTTTCAATATATTACAGGTTGGCATAAGAAATTACTGTAAATGGGAATTTTTGGGGAGTTTTGCAAAAGCTGCAGACAACATGTGAAGGCCGGCAGACGACACAGAAAAATTCAGAAGCTCAGAAATGCTTAACCGAAATTTTACAATAAGGTACTGTAAACACCCCATAAAAGAAAAAAATTCAGACTCTTTCTCTATGTGTGAAGGGAGGGCCAAAAAATTTTACATGGATTTTCCAGATCTCAGGGGTGCTGCGCCCCTAACTCCAGTGATATGGAAAGGATAGTTATATAGCCTGATTGATGAATCAGTGCCAAGTGGGATCTTTCTGGTGGTGCGCTCGCTCTCTCTCTCTCTCTCTCTCTCTCTCTCTCTCTCTCTCTCTCTCTTTCCCTCTCTCTTCCTCTCCCTTTCCTTCTCTCTCCCTCTTTCTCCTTTCCCCCTCCTCCTCCTCTCTCTCTTCTTCTCTCTCTACCACTCTTTCCTTGTCCTATGCCTCTCTTTTTTCCCCCTCCCTTCTTTCCCTTTCTCCCTCCTCCAAAAAAAACCTCAATTCTTTTCCTCTCAGCTGGTCTCCCTCTCCTGCTGATGCTACTGCAACTACTACAGTAGCTACTCCCCTGGTCCCCTGCTACTTGAGGCCTGGGGAAGGGGAAGACACCAGCTGCTTTTCAAGGTCTCCTAAGTCTCTTACCAAAGAAAGGAAGACACAAATGAGAAGCAGCCATATCTCAGGCACAGCCTCATCTTGGAAGCCATGAGCTCATAGCTTGTGGCCTGGTGGAGGGAAATGAATCTTTCATTTCAGGGCATGCAAGGGGAAGAGGCCACCAGATGTGGTAGCTGTAGCAGCTGAGTTGGGTGAAGGCCCAGCCCTCAGGAGTGGCCTGTTTGATCCAGCCCAGCAGTAGTTTGCTTCTGCAGCTAAGACACTGAATTTAGCAAGGAGTCAGCCCATTAAAGCAGGGAAGAGAGACTTGTCCATTGGCTACACAACAACCAGAGGTGAGCTAGGTGTGGACTCACTGAAGAGGGAAAAAGATACCCAAGGCTGGAACTAGGTCTCAGCCACAGGTGCCCTATGTGTGCCTCGAACCTTTCTGCTTCCTTTTGACCTCACTCTCTGCTTCCTTTTGACCTCACTCTCTGCAGATACCTTCTGTATGTGTAGGAGGGAGAGCACATCACAATGTGTGTTAGGTTATGTTTTGTACTAACCACTTTAAGTATGAGCCCAGAGTCCTAGCAAATGAGTGAATGTCTGTGGAAAAGTATATTGCCCAGTTTGGAGGGAGGTTTTTGTAACTTCTTTCTTGGGTATATCTTCTCAGTCAATGTTCCTTTGTAAAAGCTAATAATTATCAACTGGCTCATTGATATTGAAGAGGTGGGGAATACTGGCTGGTGGGGAAGAAATAGCTGCCTTCTTGGGACTCAATTTGTGAGTGTGTGTGTGTGTGTGTGTGTGTGTGTCTGTCAAGAGTGAGCCCAGAGGGGGTGTTACAAGGATATCAGGTAGAGGCCAGCTTTTTTTTTCCTCTACCACCAACTGAAATTAAATGATGCACAGGACTCATGAGAATCCTTGAATCAATATAGAAACCTAAAGCACACAGTCCATTACGGTACTGCTAGGGTCAGAAAACCTGAGTTCAAATCTGGCCTCAGATACTTATTATTGTGTGACCCTGGCCAAGTCACTTAGTTTGCCTCAGTTTCCATCATTGTCAAAGGGGGATAATAATAGCATTTACCTCCCAGGATTGTTTTAAGGATCAAATGATATAATATTTGAAAAGTGCTTATCACCATGCCTGACACATTGTAGGTACTTAATAGATGCTTGTTTTCTTTTTCCTGCCCATGGAAGGCAAAGGCATTTTGTTACCGCTTAACAAAGACTCCCCATTCACCTTCCACGTGCGCTGTCCAAGCAACTCACAGTAATATCATGAAGAATTGGCAAGGTCTAGATCTCCTGGGTCTCCAGTGATGTAACTTTTGTCTTTCAGCGCTCAAGTCCTCTTCTTTCTTTAATGGGCATAGTGTAGGAAAATCTATCTCTGAGACATAGATACTCAACTCTCAAAATCAGAAACCCCCCATCTCTTGCAAATTCTAGAAAGTAGAAACTTTCAAAATCAGAATTACCTGCATGGTAATCACCAGAGCTGGAAATGTTCATTCTCAGGAGTGATAATCTCTGACTTAAGTTCAGCAAAGTCAACCATCAACAAGCATCTGCTATGATCCAAGCATTGTGCTAAGTGTTGGGAATACAAAGAAAGGAAAAAAAAAAAACCAGTGTTTGCTCTCACAGAAGCTTACGGTCTAGTGAGGGAGACAATCTGTAAAAACTATGTACCGATGAGATGTATACAGGATGAACTGGGGGCAGTTGCAGAGGAAAAGCTCTCAGATTAAGGAGGACTGGGAAAGACTTCTTGTACAAAGTGGGATTTTAGCTGAGACTTGAAGGAAGCCAGGAAAGGTAAAAGGCAGCGACGAGGGGAGAGAGCAATCCAGGCATAAAGGTCAGTGAGTAAAAACACTCCAAGTCAGAAGATGGAGGGTCCTTTGTGAGGACCTGGAGGCCAGTGGCACTGAATTGCAAAGTATATGGAAGAGGGTAAGGCATAAGAGGACTGGAAAGGGAGGAAGGGGTCAGGAAGCTAAACAGAGGCCTTTATATTTGATCCTGGAGGTAATAGGGAGCCATGAGAGTTTGTTGAGTAGGGGGATGACATGTTTAGACCTGTGCTTTAGGAAGATCAATTTGACAGCTGAGTGAAGGATGGATTGGAGAGATGTGAGGCAGGGAGACCAAGGAAAAGATCAAGAGATAATAAGGGAAACCTTGGAAGTTAATGAGATCACCAAATGAAAAGGGAGAAGACAGCAGGACCCAGGAGAAAACCGTGGGGGAGACCCACATCTACATCTTCTCCTGGGGACCAAGAAGAAATCCTTCCACTCCGCATTTTTGAATTCACATATGAAAGTCCAAGGGAAAGGAAGCTTGGGAAAAGAAAGGGTGCAATTTATACAAGGAAATCAATGTTGTAAAGAAAAACAACTTTGAAAGGCTTAAGAACTCTGGTCAAAGCAATGACTAGCCATGTTTCCAAGGACCTATGATGAAGCATGTGCTGCCCACCTCCTGACAGACAGATGACGGAGCCAAGGTACAGGAAGAGACATCTATTCTTGGACATGGCCACTGCAAATTTGTCATTCTTGTCTATGTTTATTTGTTACAAGGAATTTCCTTCAACTCTTCCCCCCCTGTTTTTAATTGGGATAAGGTGAGAGAGGAGTAAGGGGTTAAGTAATAATGATGCCTCCCAAAAGAAGGCCATTGGGATATTTTAAAATGCCTATAAGAAAATAGAAGGAAATTAAGAAGGAAACACAGATAAGTAGGACAGTTTTGAATGTAATGTGTTGAATTTATTATATACTATTTTATGAAGGAAGCAGTATAAATTAGAGATTTATAATTTCATATACAATTCTCTTTGTGTTCTGCCATGTATGTAATTTTTTAGTCCATCTATAGAATCTTAAAAAATAAAAGGATCAAATTTGTTCACAATATGCTTATTCCTTGGGTGTTAGAGGGCATCCAGTAAAAGAGAAAATCTTCCTCCACTCTGTGAGCAATAATCTTGGGGACAGCTCCAGTTGCCAGCCATCAATAAGAGGACTTCCTTGTATCTCCTCAGCAGGATGCCCATTTTCAGTCTACCTGTACTGGATATGCCCTTCAGGCAAAGGTTCATGTTCTGTAATGTCATCAAGGTGATTGTGAAGCACTCATCCATTGATCGGGGCTCCCTCTTTAGGCCTCTTGGACCTTCAGGTAGGTGCTATCCTGTTCCCCTGCTCTGTAACAATTATTTGGTAAAAGCAGCCAAAGCCCATTCTATACTGAATACTTGGGCTTTCCTCTGGTCACTTGGTCTAAGTGCCTTTATTAGCATTTCAAAAAAGTTTTTACCTTCATCCATAATTGATTAAAGGTCCAAAGCTGTGAATAAAAGATGGATTAAAATAAGTCTGTCTCACTTTCTCCCCACCTCAACCCTCCCCTCTACTTCCTTCCTCAACAAGTTACCCAGCTCCTGAGAGGGGCCTGAGATAGGTATTCACCTCTCTTTCTCTGAGTTTATTTTGACCTTAAAAGACCTTGAAAGAGGTCGACCTGAGGCCCAGTCTTGAAAAGAAGGAAACATTTCACTTGCATTGCTTACAACCCCAATCTTCACTAAAACTGAAAGGATTGAGAAAACCACATGTTACCTTTTGACTCGTGGGTGGATGTGTATCATTTTTCACTGGGGCTTAGCATTCAACCTGGCCCTTGCATGTGGAACTCAATGACTGTTGGCTTGCAGTCAGTAGGGTTTAGTCCTGCTTCTGGTGTAGTGAGTTCATCTGTGTGAGAACTGAGGGCATGTGGTCAGTTTCCTGTGTGGGATGAGTTAGCAGCTCTCTGGTCCATGGACATGCAATCATGGTGCTCTTAACCCTGGTAGTAGCCATTTTCCAAATTCATGCCATTGGTCACTGGTAAGGGACTATGGATAAATTAGTAAAATTATTCATGCCATTGGTCACTGGTAAGGGACTATGGATAAATTAGTAAAATTATTCATGCCATTGGTCACTGGTAAGGGACTGAGGATAAATTAGTAAAATTACATCCCTACTTTTGAGATATGACTCGTAGGATCAAAGCTACAGTGCTGAAAGAACTGCAGAAGCCAGCTAGTTCAACCCCCTCCTTTTTGAGGAGAAAACAGGAGGGAAGTTAAAAGAATGGCCCAAGGTCACACAGGTAATATGTGTCAGATACATAATTTGAACTCAGGTCCTCTGATTCCAGCAGCGATATTTTCCCAGTGCACCAGAGTGTCTCCCTCACTCCCTTTGAGTGTGAAGGATAGTGAAGGATGGTGTGATGGATAGAATTTGGGGTATAAAGACTTGAATTCAAATCCTGCCCTGATGCTTACTAAATGTATCACCCTGAACATGCCAATCAAACGCTTGGGTCTCAATTTCCTTATTTGTAAAAATAAGGATAATAGCACCCACCTCACAGGATTATTTTGAGAATCAAATGAGCCAATAATATAAAATTCTTTTCAGTCCTTTAAGTGCATATTAATATGACCTAAGAAGGTGAGGATGATGATGATGATAATGATTCCCGTCTACCTCTAAAATTATTCAATTTTGTGGTCACTATGATTTAATAGAATATAAGCTCCTTAAGGGCAAAGACTCTTTTTATTTTATTCTTTTTGTATTCCCAGCATAGTGTTTGCCATGCGGTAGGCATCTAATAAATATTTATTGAATAGAATAGAATCATGTTAAGTAACTGAATTGAGTTTAGTAGCTGAATTGTCCAGTGGGCAAGGACCACCTTGAAGCTGAGGAGCTTAGGGCAAATAGCTCTCTTAGGCCTTGGCTTTTCCTCTCCCAATCTCATCTGATGCCTGCTTTACAAGACCTGCCTTCCTGAGGAAGTTGTCAAGAGAGTGTGATAAGATCTCGAAGCTGCTTTGGAGATCCCCAGGACAAAGGCATAAGTAGAACTCATAGGGCTGTTATCGTAGCATATGTTTAAAAAAAGAACAACTATTATGTGAGGGAATAAAACAAGTTCAACCCACTCCTTCTGAAGCAAGCATCTTGTACACTCCTTCATAAGTGTCTGAGGTTTGTGGTGAGGAAAGTCCTGGTGGGGCAGGGGGGAGAATTCTCTATTCTTCATGTAAACAATCTGCACCCATTACAGAGAGTGGGGACACAGGAACTACACAATGTATTTTCTGGCTATAGAGGCCCCAGCCCCACAATACCAGAACTAGCACCTTTCTTCTCATACCTTTCATAATCATCCTGAATCACTAGACTTTTCCTGAAATTTCTCACTTCAAGAGAGTACCCTTCCATAGAATGTAAATTCCTTGAGGCCAGGGACTATTTCTTTTTTTGGCTTTGTATATCTAGTGCTTAGAAGAGTGACTGGCACATATCTGGCTTTAGACAAATACTCGATAGAGTGATTCCTATCCTATCTTTTTAGAGTCTAAGGTAGATTAAGATAGTCTCACATAGACTAGAAAGGGATGGCTTTTCCAGGAGCCCCACCACAAAAGTCTTGGATTGCCTCGGCTTGAGGGATTTCCCTTTTCGTTTTTCATGAATCGGAGGCCAACCGTTTCTCCGTTTCCAAGAGATCACTACCTGGGCAATGGCTGTGCCATTTTGGTATTTGGAGATGAAAGCTCTTGCCCATTGCTGCCGGGGGCTGGATAACGTTGAAACAATCTGAGTCTCTCACCTGGTCAGTTCAGGTCCCAAGAGCCACCATCTTGCCTGTCTTTAGTCAGAAACCTAGCCACTTGAACCTTCAACCAATCCTAGCAAAAGTCCCAGCAAATCAGCTGCTGCAGGGTAGACTTACATATCCAACACATGTTCATGTATCCTTGCATTTCCATACGTGAATGTCTGCTCAGAGTACTCAGACACATCTGTACGCCTAAATGCACTGGTCTGTGCGCAGGAACATGAGAGGCGATGGGGCGATGTGGGCAGAGAGCTGCCTTGAGGATCAGAAAGACCTGGCTTCATATCCCTCCTCTGTCACGTCCTGGCCTTATGTCTAACATCATTTCTCAGTGTCTGAAACTACTCTCTAAGACTGTAAATTGCAGAACACTTGCCAATCTGCATTAGTAGAGATAATTTCCTCACTGGGAGTTCCTTATACCAGTGAACTCATAGGTATAGAACAACAAAAAAAAAGCGCTTAAGTATACATAGCCCCATATCAGCTTCTTTACACATACACACAAATGGTCTTTTGACTAAACACTGACTTAGGGAATAAAAACCATTGTATCCTGAGGCCAAGGAAAAAAAGGGGAAAACATCCATTTAGTTCTGTTGTCTTGCCATTTTAAGAAAGGATCAAAATAACAATTATCTAAGGGATGTGCCTGAGCAGCAACTCAGAGATGTACCTCTTGGTGTTTTCTTCCTGTAATTTGGTGACTTGCATTTTAGGGACTATGCCTGGTAGCACTGGAAGTTAGAAGAAAGAAAATCGAACTGGGTATTGGCCCTAGGGTCTGGCTCTGCCCCAACCTATATATGGAACTTTGGGTAAGTCACTTCTCTCTGGGCCTCAGTTTCCTTATTTGTAAAATGATAAGGGGCAGCTAGGTGGCACAATGGATAGTGCTGGGCCTGAAGTCAGGAAGACTCATCTTCCTGAGTTCAAATATAGCCCCAGATGTGTGCTAGTTGTGTGACCCTGGGCAAGTCACTTAACCATGTTTGATTCAATTTCTTCCTATAAAGGGAGCTAGCAAACTGCTCCAGAATCTTTACCAAGAAAACCCCAAATGGGGTCATGAAGGGTGATTGAAATGACTGAATGACATCAACAAGTGATAAGAGGTGTTGGATCAGATGGTCTCTAAGGTCCATTTATATAAACCCTCTGATGCTTTGATCCACATTGAGGTATTTTCTCAGGACCTAACAGAAAAATTCAAGAGTATAACCAATGTCTTAAAAAAAATAACAAAAATCTATTTTCTCTTCTACCCATCTCCTAGTGGGAAAAGAAAAAAAAAACAACCCTGTAACAAACATGCATAGTCAAGCGAATCGAATTCCTGCATTGGTCGTGTTAAAAAAAGTGTCTTATTTTTGTACCCTGAGCCCATCACCTCAGTCCTTTAGAGGATCATTACACCGTTCAGTATTCTCAAACCTTTCAAAGTTATTTGTCTTTACAATGTTGTTGTTGTTTAAATTGTTCTCCTAAACCGGTGTCTCCAAGAAGTGTGGGGTCTCACACAATGCCATCTGCAAACAATGAGCTCCTTGAGGGCAGGGTCTGTTTTTGCCTCTCTTTATATCCCTAGCGCATGGCATAGTGCCAGGCACATAGAAAGTACTTAACTAACGCTTGTTGACTTGACTTGCAGATTATGATGACAGTGACACTGGTGGTTATGATGTTAACAATTTTAGAAAGGTAGAAGCCTTTCCTAATCCCCCCCCCCCCCCCGCTATTAGTGCCAGTTCTAATTATGTAGTATTTATTCTGTGAATCCTATGTACCTACCGTCTCTCCCTTACAGAGTGTCAGAGTACGGAATCGTTTTATTCTTTGTGTTTGTAACCCCCAGAGCCTAGCACGCTGTTAGTACATAGTAGGCACTTAATAAGAACGGCCCTAGAAAGATTCCTAGGGAAAAAAATCCAGATAAGAGTCAGGGAAGACTGGATTCTCATCCTAACTTTGCTACCATTTCTTTGTGAGACTGAAAGTGAGTCACTTGACCTGTCTGGGCTTCGAGGTTCTTATTTGTAAAACTGGGTTATGATAATAGCTGCACCGTTTGCCTCATAGAACTACTATGGGGATAAAATTGAATAATCAATGTGAAAGTACTTTGAAAAGTTCTAAGTACCATGCAGACATACATGATCTAGAGCTCACTTCTCTCAAAAGGGAAAGGAGAAAAAAGATCTGGATAATATCCATATCAGCTCTTACAGTAAGATGGCCAAGGAATGGGCTAGAAATGACCAGGAATTGCCGATCCCATTGTAAGGGTATTTCATCTTCTTAAAAACAATTTGTTCTCTACAAAAGGGGACCCAAGTGAGAAGTGGGAGGATGGAGGCTGGGAGCTGAGGAGGGAATGCAGCTGCATTGATGTGGGACCGCCCGGGGTAGCTGCAGTGGCTCTGAGTCATCCTGGACAGAGGTGATAGACTCAGGAAGTTTGAAAGTGATATTGAAACAAATTTGCATTTTTTCCTTTCAGGGGAACGCAGTTACCCTCAGTTCCACCTGGATGTGCCCTGCCAGCATTTGCATAGGTAATAATTAGCAGTTAGCATTGCATGCCTTCTGGTTCTTGTACTTCCATCCTCTTGGGGGCTCAGTTCTAAGGCAGGGGCCCTGGGCTTTGGGTTAGAAGCTCCGGTTCGGCCTCTGATGTTCCCCACTTCCTAGCCGTGTCAGTGTGCTGAGCTTTAGATTCCTCATCTGTGAAATAAGGAATGAGGGGGCAGCTAGGTGGCTTGGAGGATGGACTGCTTGGGCCTGCAGTCAGCAAGATCCGAGTTCAAATCCCTGCTCAGTTGTGTGACCCTGGCAAGTCACTTAACCTCTGCTTGCCAGTTTCCTCTTCTATAAAATGGAATAATAATTGCACCCCCCTCCTAGAGTTGTTGGGAGGGCCAAATGAGATAATAATTGTAAAGCACCTGGCATGAAGTAAGTGCTATAAAAGTTATTATTGTTATTGTTATTAATCTATCACATGAAAATAGTAATAGTAGGGTGATGCAGTGGATAGAATGCTGGTCCTAGAGTCAGAAAGACCTGAGTTCAAATCCAGCCTCAGATACTTACTAGCTATGTGACCCTGGGCATGTCTGTTTGCCTCAATTTCCTCATTTGTAAAATGGGGCTAATAATAGTACTACCTAGCAGGGTTGTTTGAAGATCAAATAAGGTAATGACCATAGAGTGTTTAGCATAATGCCTGACACATATTTTGGCACATATCCTTTGACCCTTCATCAATTTTAATTTTTATTATATATTGTTATATATTATATATTATTTTTAGTTTTATTTTTACTTAATTACCTTACAGATTGTTTTCAGAAAAGAACTTGAGAGAGGCAGCTTGATATAGGGAAGAAAGCACTGTTTTGGAGTGAGAGTGTCTGAGTTCAATTCGCATCTCTGCTCTGCGTGACCTGGGGGCAGGTCATGGATGTCTCTGGACATTTCTCATCTATAAAATGCAGGGATTAGGCTAGATCTTCTGTGCGCCTTATGGAAGTATTTTCCCATTGTTGTAGATACTGATCTCTGGTTGTCACGTAGAGAAAAGGTAAACCAGTGGGAGATTTTGCTGCCCTCAAATTATACTGAAAGATTGGGTTGGCATTGGGGAACCGGTGGAAAAATCATCAGTCCCATTGGACTTTGCACTGACTTGCTTAGTAGCTGACTTTTCTCTATCACGTCAACGTTTACAAAGCATCGTACTTGGCATTCTTTCCTTTGTGACGGGGAGAGAAGTAACCCCATGTCTGTGATTCCTTGTTCTCATGACAGCGACTAGAACCCTGGGGAGAAAGAGAGCCCCTCCCTATTTGCTGTGAGTCCACTCTCACTGAAGTCTTCACATTTTCATCTAGTGTGATTTAATTATGTGTCTATCTATTAATTTCCTGTTCTATTTGCCAGAGCAGATTGTCAGCTGATAGAGTTTGGTGTTTGTGTGAACTAATTAAAAATGGAAGATCTAGTTTGGAAAGAAAATGGTCCAATTTTTTTTTTCCTCCTGAAATATGTGGCAGGAATTAGAAACAAAATGGAATAGAATGATTGGGAAGGTTCCGGATAGTTTTTGATTGTGATATAATTCCCTCTCCAGGTCTTGTCTTCCTTATCCATCCCATCGCATCCCATCCCATAACTATCCCACAGCCTTTCTGTTGGCTGTTGGGGGCAATAGATGGGAATATTGAAGAATATGAGCCACATTTCTAACTCTCCCACTGTATCAGGGCTGAACTCTTAGGTGAGTTAGCTAACCTCTAGACCTAGTTGTGTATAGGGGTTCACTTATGAGAACTCTGTTTGGGGGTTCTCATGCCTTCTGGTTCAAGTGGCATGCCTTCCTGTTGTTGGGCTTCCATCCTCTTGGCTAGTTTAGGAGCAACTTGTTCCCATTTTTTTCCACATGGAGAAATCACTAAAAATTAAAGTCAAGCCAGGTAGCTAGGTGGTACAGTGGATAGAGTGCTGGGCCTGGAGTCAGGAAGATCTGAGTTCAAATGTGACCCCAGACACTTCCTAGCTAGCCATGTGACCCTGGGCAAGTCACTTAACCATGTTGGCCTCAGTTTCTTCATCTGTGAAATGAGCTAGAGAAGGAAAGGGCAAACCATTCCTGTACCTTTGCCAAGAAAACCCCAAAGGGGATAATGAAGAGTAGAACATGACTGAAAAGAACTCAACAACAACATAGTCAAGCAATTTCCATAGGATTTCAAAGAAGCAAAGAAGTTGCTTGGTGGAGGCGTAATTAGGAGTTTATGGCTCAATTCAGATGGATAACCAAGTGTCTACTACTGGCAAACTGCTCTAGGGGCTGAGGATGTGAAAGAGCAAGGTGACAGTCCTAACACTCAAGGAGATTACCATCTCCCTTGTTTCACTATCACTTTCAAACGCCATCAGTTTAACTTTCTTTCACCAGCCTTTATTCTCCTCTTTACTGTGAGGTGACATGGAGGATAATCCATTGAAATGAACAACTAGGGACTGCCCTGTATCTTGCCTTCTTCCCAGTTCCCACAAGCCATAGTGCTGGTGTCCTACACTAAGGTAGGTGTTCCACTTGACAGGGAAGCTAGCTTTTCCTGAATTTAGATAATCACTTAATCAGTACATATTAATCACTACTAAGTACTAGGTACTGTGTTAAGAGCTTGGGATACAAAAAAATGAATCAATCTGGGCTGAGAAGGAGTTTATGAGAGGCAACAAGTATGTTTATAAATATATTGTTGTTTGTTAAGTTTAAGTCATGTCCAACTCTTTGTGACCCCACTTGGGGTTTTCTTGGCAAAGATACTGGAGTGGTTTGCCTTCCTTCTGCAGCTCATTTTACAGATGAGGAAACAGGCAAACAGGGTGAAGTGACCTGCCCAGGGTCACACAGCTAGGACGTCTCTGAGGCCAGATTTGAACTTAGTTCCTCCCGACTCCAGGCCCAGCACTCTATCCAGTATGCCACCTAGTTTGCCATGTATAAATAAAATATAAGTATAAATGTAACAAATAAATAAAATGTAAATAAGTACAAATATGTACAAAGTTGTTAAATTTAAGGTTGTTTGGGAGGCAGGATACTAGCAGGTGTAATAATGCTAGCCTACATGCATAGGACTTTCTATCAGGAAGCATTCTATGTACTTTTGCTCCGTTGATCCTCACAACAGCCCTTTGGGATAGATAAAATAGACAATTGTTATTGTGCCCATTTTGCAAATGAGGAAACTCCAGTTCAATGCCTTGTCAAATTTAAGAAGTGACTGAACCAGGTAACTATAACCCAGTAGAATACTCATGGAAGGCAGGGTCAATTTTTAATTCATCTTTGTACCCCTGGAACCCAGCACAGTTGCTTCCACTTAGTAGGCACTTAAATGCTCATTGGATTGCATTGAACCTAGCTCTTCTGACTACTAAGCTAATCTTTTTTTTCTACCAAATCATGCTGCCTCTTATTTATGACCGGAAGAGATGAGAAATAATCTGGGTCTATCTTGGGGGACCAGGTTTACTTCTTTTTTTTTTAAAACTATTTATTTGTTTTTTAACTTTTAGGCAACTGGGATTAAGTGACTTGCCCAGGGTCACACAGTTAGTAAATGTCAGGTGTTTGGTCTAAGGCCAGATTTGAACTCAGGAGCTTCAGGGCCGGTGCTCTATCCACTGTGCCACCTAGTTGCCCCCAGGTTTACTTCTTTTTAGATAGGCTGGAGGTCTTTGCTTAGGTTCACCCCACTAGAGACAGTCCCAAACTGATGTCTGAAAATGATGGCAAAGGTCATGGTAGGGTCTTATACTAAGCAGTCATTATGGTATCATAGACTGTTAGGACTGGAAGGGTCCTTAGACATCTAATGTTCTCATTTTACAGGTGAGGAAACTGAGGCCCACAGAAGGAAAGATGCCTGTTGAGGAGATGTGTTGTGCTTACTTCTTGCACTCCAGTTGGATGGATTTTCTCTTTGCTTCCTCGAACACCTCTGTTCCTGTCTCCAGACTGCCTCCCATGCTGTTTCTTTGGCAAGGCTGGTCTTTTCATAAACGGTTGAGAGTCATTTCTCAAGCCTCTTTCCCTGAACAGTCTTTCTCTACTGTGGTAAAGGGCATTCTAGACACCCTCCTTCCCTCGCGCACAGTTCTTTTGCATTCCTTGGCAAGTGGAGGCCAGAGCAATCAAATCAACAAAGCAGTTTTTGCAGTGGGATCCCAACATAGATGCTTACTTATGAAGTTTTCACTGTGGGGCAGCTACATCTCTGACGTACCTTGCACTTGATACCTGACATACCAAAAGGGATAATATATGTGAAAGGACTTAGAGAATGCTGAAGTGCTTTAGGAAACGAGATGTTTTGTTATATTCTCTAAAGATCTCAAAGGGAAATTCTATTTCTTTACTCAGCTAAGGGCACTTCTAAGTGGCTAGGGCCAGATTATTAAAAAAAAAAACCCTGCAAAAAATGTGAACAGGTTGCTCTTATGCCTAAAGCGGATTCTGTTGCTTTTAGTGCCGTGCTTTGTGGGTGGTCAGGGCAGTGCACTTGCACTTTGCAAATTTCTAGTGTGTTCCGAAGTGAACTTGAACTTAGGACCCAGCATTCTTCCCTAGGAAGGAAAGGGGGTGAACTAAACAGTGTGCTCCTGGCTAAGCCTTCAGCAGATTTTCATTTGTCTCATAGCTGTAGTTTTGGTAGTTAAACCAGAATAGTAGCCCTGTTAACAAAGAATTAAGCAAATGCATATGGATTTCTTCAGCAGCCTCCTTTGCTCTGCTAGAATGCCTGGCAGTCAGAAATAAAAACCATATTGCTTTTCCTCTTGATCATTTTCTCTCGTTCCTGATGAATGAATGAATGAAAAAGTATTTTATTAAACACCTACTATGTACCCTGGTACATAGATAGTACCACTCTACTATATGGTTAAAAACCAGAAGTAAGGTAATTGCTGCTCTCAAAGAGGTTATATTCTGATTGGGAGAGGTAAAGCACCTCGATGGTGCAGTGGATAGAGCACCAGGCCTGGAGCCAGGAAGACTCAACTTCCTTCCTTCGAATCTGTCTCAGACACTTATTGGGCACGTGACCCTGGGTCAAGACACTTAACCTTGCTTGGTTCAGTCTCCTCTTTTGTGAAGTGAGCAGGAGAATGAAATGGTGACCCACTCCACTATCTTTGCCAAGAAAACCCCAAATAGGGTCATGAAGAGTTGGACATAATTGAGACAACTGAACAACAAAAAAAGGCAAAAAGGAGAGGGGTTGTCAGGAAAGAGAAATTTAGCCTGGAGAATCACAGTCAGTCACTCAGCCAGTAAACAAGCGTTTATTAAGCTCTTATTATGACCGGGCACTATCTGGAGAAAGATGAAGAAAGGCAAAAACAAGATTCTCAAGGAAGTCACATTTTTAATGGGAGAGACAGCATGCGAAAAAATTGTACGTTGATAGATATATACAATATAAATTTAAGGTAACCCAATAAAATCTTCAGTTTGGCTTTTCAAAGCCCTTCACATTCTTCTCAGTCTTCTTACATTTACCTCCCACCTTTTTCCAGAGGCTCTGCTAGTGAAATTTCCTGCAATTTGTCCTGTGTATACCTTGTATATACATGGTTTGCACATTGTGCCCCTCCATTAGAATGGAGACTCCCTGAGGGCAGATACTTTCATTGTTTCACCAGTGCTTAGCACAATGCCCGACACATAGTAGGTGTTTATTAAATGTTTGTTGACTATTTATAGAATCTCAGAAGGAAAGCACTAGCAGTGCAGGGGAACACCAGAGAAGTCCTCCTACCAAAGCGGGATCTGAGCCGAGTCCTGAAGGAAGAGAGGAAAGCCAGGAGGCAGGAGGGAGGAGGGAAAACATTCCAGCCATGGACGACAGCTGAAGCAGAGTCGGAAGATGGATTGTCGTGTTTGAGGGACATCAAGAAAGCTAGTGTCACTGGACTGCCGAATATGAGGAGGAGAGGAAAGTGTAGCAAGACTGGAAAGTTAGCAAGGGGCTTTCAAGGACAGAAGGATTTCATATTTGATTCTGGAGGTTATTGGGTAGGTGACATGGTCAGAGCTGCCCTTTAGGAAAATCACCAGGATGGATTGGAATGGGGAGAGGGAGACCAGCTAGAGGCCTCTAGCTAGTCTAGAGGGAGGTCTCCATCAAATGATGAGGGCATGTACCAGGGTGGCAGCTCTATAAATGGAGAGGAGTGTGTGAATGTGGATGCATGCATGCAGGTGTGTGCATGTGTATATATGCATGTATGTGTATGCATGTGTGTTTGTGTACACATGTGTATATGCATATATGTGCGTGCACGTATGTATGCACACACACACACATGCATGTACGTGTGTGTGTGTGTGTGGTGTTGTGAAGGTAGAAGCTGCAAGGCTTGACAGCAGATTGGATTATATGGGGTGAATGTTAATGATGGGCTTAGTAGGACACTGAAGGGGCTGGGAGGTTAGGGGTGCCCTTGACAGTAATAGGACAGTTGGGAAGAGGAGAGAGTTGGGGCTAGGGAGGAAGAGAAGATAAGGAATTCTGTTTTGGACAAGTTGAGTTTGAGATGTCTACAGGACATTTAGTATCCGAAAGGCAGTTGGTGAGGGAGATTAGAACTTGGAGGAGAGGCTGGGGCTGGATATATCAGGGGAAGGAGAAGAAGCATTTATATGGTGCCTACTTCGTGTTGGGCACTTCCCAACAATCCTGCGGGGTAAGTGCTGTTGCTATTATCAGTTGAGGAAACTGAGGCAGAGGTTAAGTGACTTGCCTAAGGTCACAGAACTCATGTGTGTCTAAGGCTATATTTGAACGCAGGTCTTGCCTATTCCAAAGGCAGCCAGGTGGCAGATTGGTAGAGTCCTGGGCCTGGAGTCAGGAAGACTCATCTTTCTGAGTTCAAATCTGGTCTAGCCATTTACTAGCTGTGTGACTCTGGGCAAATCTCTTTACCTTACCTCAGTTCCTCATCTGTAAAATGGGGACACACTGGAGAAGGAAATGGTAAACCGCTCCCTTATCTTTGCCAAGAAAACCGTGGACTTTGTCCATGGGATCATACAGATGTAGAGTTGGATACGGTTGAACTACAGCAATATATGAGGCACTGGAGACAGAAAAAACGAATCGATCCCTTATCTTCAAGGAGTCTAGATTTTATTGAAGGATACATATATAAATATGCACAAAACAGATAAAAAGTTGTAAGTGTAGATTATTCTTCCTGGAAATCTGGCAGATAGGAGAGTAGAGTCCATGGGATAGCAGGGACAATAAAAGTCTTATTTAGACTAGGGGAATTACGGGGAGTTTTATAGGCTGAAGGGAAGGAGCCGGGATAGAGGGAGAGGTTTGGAGATGTGGTATAAAGAACAGAAGTGAAGGGGTAGGCTTGGCTAGAGAGACAGTCCCTTTTCTTCTGAATATGGAAATAATAATAGCTAACATTTATACAGCACTCTAAGGTTTGTGGAGTACTTTATATACATATCACATTTGGTCTTGGGAGAGAAAAGTCGCAGTTGTTATCATCCCCATTTTACACAGGAGGTAACTGAGGCTCAGAAGTATTCAATCAATTCAGCTCATTAAGTGTCTGATAGGGGATTTGATATAAGGTTTTCCTGATTCCAGCTCCAGCAATCTAAATACTGGAACAGTTTACCTCTTGAGTATAAAGAGGGTTAGAGGAGTCAAGAAATAAGGTGATGGGTTGACATTGGATGGCCTTGGTCTTCTAGGGAAGGTGATTGGTGAAACTGTTTGTAGAGAGTGAGGGGACAAGAGGTGGAATTGAAGAGAGAAGAGATTTGTCATAGCTGCTGTGACTTGGTTTAGTATGGATGAATTTAAGACTAGACCTGGCAGGGGATTGTGAAGTTTTAGCAACTTGCAAGAGCTTATAAATACCACACTTGAACACAGTCCTCACTACAAGTGAATCCTAAATAAAAACTTGTGTTGGGCAGGTCTTCTCATCCCACCATCCCCAGCTGATGAAACATAAATTCCTTGAGTGTGGGGGATATTCCATTTTTGTCTTTCCATGCCAGAACCTGGCATGTAGTAGGGGCTTAACAAATGCAGGTGAAATTTATGAAGGAGAGAAGAATGATGTCATGAATTTCTCCACTAGCGTCTGTCTTTGAGAGGCTCCATGCTAGGCTGGCTAGAAGGATGGATTTAAGAGTTAGCAAAATCTGGGTTGAAATCCTGCCCTTCAGCAGCTCTGTGACCATGGTGAAGGCATTTATCTTCTCAGAGCTCCAGCTAATTTTCCAAAGTAGGGATTCTTAACCCTTTGGGGGTCCATGGATAGATTTCAGGGAGTTCATGAACTTGGGAAAAACAAGTGACATCTTTGTTTTCACCAACCTTTGATTTTCTTTATAATCTTATGTATTTTATTTTATGTATTTGAAAACATTATTCTGAGAAAGGGTCCATAGGCTTTATTGCTAAAGGTGTCTAGGACAAAAAAAGCTTAAGAATTCCTACTGTGAAGGTTATAAGTTAAAGATGAGTTGCTGTGGAGGAAATCAAAGGCCTCGTCCTTGACTTATTGACCTATATCCCTTTATTATTATTATTTTTGGTGAGGCAATTGGGTTTAAGCAACTTGCCCAGGGCCACACAGCTAAGTGTCAAGTATCTGAGGTCACATTTGAACTCAGGTCCTCCTGACTCCAGGGCTGGTGCTCTATCTACCATACCACCTAGCTGCCTCAGACTGATATCCCTTTAAAGGAGGGATGACAGGTAAGAGATGAGGGGGGTGTTGGGATATTTGAGCAGCGTTCTACATACAGTGGGTGCTTAATAAGTGTTTGTGGTCATTGTTGCTGCCGAAGCTTTTAGCTACTTGTTTACTGTGATAATGTTAGCTTCCAAATTGTTACCCTCAAGAAACTTGATTCAAGTAGACTGGTCGTGAATCCAGTTCTCAAACACCTTATGCACCAAATATAAATAAATAACGAAAATAAAATAAAATTCCTATCAAACCCCAAGGGGACAGAAATGCCTTCTGGTCCCAGCAGCTTTGTCCTGAACAATACCTGTTGTGTATGATGTGAGGGGCTGCCTCCTGCATTCCCATGATCTGAGAAGCTGAGTTTCCTGCTTGGCTCAAAGGCCTTCAGAGCTGTTTTTGTCTTCATTCTTCTCAGGCAGGCAGAGAGAGAGAAGTGTACCCCAGCATTCAATAACAAGCTGCATAGAGTGAGCGGCAGGAAGCTCCCACCACCAAACCATGAGAACTTCAGATGGGATTTGCTGACCCAGGCTCAAGGGACGCCTAGGGGGGGTTGCCTTGTCCTTGCTTTGTAATCTTGAATTCTGGGAAAAATCATCTAGAGTGGGTCTGGGAAGAAAGAGCCCAATGCCCTCCCCCCGAATGTAATCAAAGCGTTTGGGATGAGAAATAGTGTGCTTTACCTCCCACTAATTCTTTATGGCTACCCAGGAGGAACTGTACAACTCTGTACAGCTGTCACTTGGCACCAAGCAGGGCAAACCCTCAGCTAAATTGTGAAAAAAAAGGTGGCTTTGGGTATCCTCACCCTCCTTTTTTGCGTTCTTCCTCAACTTATCCCCCACCTCTCTTCTCTTCGCATTAGGTGCTAAATCCCCTCTTATTCTATTACTTTATTTTGCTTTCTTTTTTCATAAAGCCATTTTTAAATTTCTAATATTAATGATGCATAATGCTCACTTTTTAAACATCCTGGATTTCCAAAAGATACTTGTTAGTCTTTACTCCTGTCATAAGTTTTAAACCAGCAATTCTTTTTT